GTGGAATGTCCTATTTGGTCTGGTCTATTTGGAGTTCTAAAAGCTTCTTGTATCTGAATAGGCCTGTCTCTGTTAGGATCCTGTTAAAGAAATTTCCTAGACCATTAACTTCTGTTTCTAGGTGCTCCTCTACACCCATTATCCTTAGATTAGTCCTTCTGATGGTGTCTTACAAGTGTTGGATAGATATCTCATATTTCTTGGACTTGTCTTGGATTGTTGTATGTTCTTTCTCTATAATATCTAGGCTGTCTTCAATCCCCGAGATTTGATCTTCGTCATGGTCTAACCTGCTGTGAAGACTTTCTACTTTGTTTGTTATTTCTTTTCCTTCTAATTGGTCAGCTTTGATGGCTTCAAATTCTTTGTTGAAGCTCTGTTTAGATCTTGTATGAACTTTTTTACTTCCTTAATTTGGTGTTCAGTGTTTATTCTCAAATCACTTAATTTATTAGTTATGGTTTCCTTGGACTCCCATTCCTTCTGTTGGGTTCCATTCAGCATTCCATTTGTGGTCTCCCTGACTTCCTTCAGCTCTTTGTTAATGGATCCCATGGATGCCTTTATTGATCTTTGTGTATTCTCTTCCTGCTCTCTCAATTCCTGTATTACTCTCTGATTAGCTTCCTCCCATTCATGCCATTCCTGCAGTTCTCTTTGAGTGTTCTCAGCCTGTTCACGCCATTTCTGCCTTTCTCTTTGAGTATTCTCAAGCTGCTCATGCAAATCCTGTATCAGTTTTTGAGTAGCTTCCTCACGCTCATGATATTCCTGTATAAACCTTTGGATTGCCTCCTCTCTCTCCCTCTCATGCTCATACAGAGTCCTTTGTAGGTTTTCAATCTTTTCCTGCATTGACCTTTTGCTTGCACTTGATTATTTCTTGTAGGAAGAGATTAGTGTAGATAAATTCTCTTAACTGTGCTTCTCTGTGAACATCTTTATCCTTCCTACATTTCTATAGCTAGCTTTGTTAGGTGCAATAATCTCACTGGATAATTTAGATTTTTTTACCTTCAGAATTGTAAAGATCACTTGCCATGCTCTCTTGATTTATATGGACTCTGCTGAGGAGTTAGCTGATAGGAAATAGGTGCACACATACACCATATGGGTCCCATTTCTGTTCTAGTTTAGAAAATCATCCTGTATATATAGTTAACTGGTGAGTGTTTCATGCTTAGACAGCCTGCTGTAGATGTTATGTTCAATAATTTGGTTATCCTTGGTTGGAAAGTACCTCATTGGTAGCGTGCTTGCCTCACACGCATGAGGTCCTGGGTTCAATTCCTCAACATTACATAAGCAGAAAAAGCCAGAAGTGGTGCTGTGGCTAAAGTGGTAGAGCACTAGCCTTGAGCTTAGGGAGAGCACCCAGGCCCAGATTTCAGCCCCAAGACTTATAAAAAATTGATTATACTTTCATCTTTAGGCCTTTTACTTTGTAGGTATCTCTACATTTGTTTTTGCTTTGTTAAAAATACTCTCTTCAACTTTTGCAAAAGCTTCTTAGCACATCTTCATTCCTGCATTTTATTCCTCCATATGTGTATGTGCAATTAGTTTTTTCTCAAGCTCACTATTTTCTTCTGTTTATAACATTTCAGAATATGATAGGTTTTCATGATCACTTCACATATACCTACAGCATATAATGAACAAGTTAGTCCTTTCATTAGCATTACCAACATGCCTTCATTGTTTCCATTTAAACAATACCAGTTGATTTCATTATATTAATTTATTTAGAATATTGACCCTATAAACATGCATATAAACACACACACCAAAGCACACACATTCACACATACTTTGGCACACACAGACAGGCCTGGCAGAAAGAAAGAAGGAATAGTACTTTGATACTCTTTACTTGCTACTTTAGAGAGTCTCTATCTAAATATATTGGGAAGAGAATGCTGATCAGTGCATTTACCATGGAGGTCTTGGAACTGGAAATTCTATACAAAGCTTTCCTACAATTCTTTCCTCAACCCTCAAGTAAGGGCTTTCTCTCTCCAAAATGAATTCCTTGAAATTGGATGCATCCCTTTTGTTTTGTTACATAAAGAAAAATAAAAATCTCTCACATTGTAGGTCTGCTGTTTTCCTGGTTGTTATCAGTAATAACTATTCCATATGTTATGTCTGTGAATAGACTTTGCTATATTATCATTCATAAAAAATCTTTTGCTTCTGAATACTGCTCTTAAATTAAACATTCCTTAGTTAACCTGACCTGCCGTATAATCACAAAACATAAACTGAGTGACTGAAAACAGGAGAATTGTTTTCCATACAGGTGTAGCTAGTGGCGCTAATGTAAAGAAACACAACATTTGCTGCCTCATGAAAACTTAACCCAACAGACAGCAGCCTTTTGCTGTGGTGCATGTGGTAAGGAGGAAAACAAGCTCTCCCTTGACTTAAATAAGTATCTGAATTTTATATGTAAGCATAAGAGACATTTATGTTCCATTCTAATTGGGGTAATATTTCAACTTATTCCTAGATAAAGAAGCAAGCATTTAATATATTGAAGTTTTAAGACATGAAATACTTCTTCAAAATTTCTTTGATCACCATGCAGGTTTATCTTCAAGAACTATCAGTATGTTTTGGCCTTGGCTTTTGCTATTGAGGAGATCAACAAAAACCCTAATCTTTTACATAACCTGACTCTGGGATTTGATGTCTATGATGTTCACTTCAATGCTTGGACAATGTTTAAGAATCCCTTCATTTGTCTCTTTGGGAAGTATAAGATTCCAAACTATTCCTGCGTGAGAGGAAGTAGTTCTATAGCAATACTTACAGGACCCTCAGGAGTAACATCTGACCAGATTGGGACATTGCTGGGACTCTACAGATTTCCACAGGTGAGGGTGGAAGGTGTGCAAGGATATAAAAATGTCTGAATTCATGCCATTTCAGGTGTTAGAAGAAAATGATAGGAAGAGACTAAATTCACAAATAAATCAAATTTTTTGATAACAAATTGTAGTTACTTAATGGTAATCAGAAATGTATTTTTTATTGTGAAAATACCATACAGAGGGGTTACAATTAACATGGGCAAGATGACGAGTACATTTATTATCAAGCATTGTTGCCTCTTCCTTTGTTTCCCCTTCTTATAGCTTCTCATACACCCTCCAGCATCCCTCAAGCGTTCCTCCCCAACCAAAGTTGTAAAGTTCATTTTTCGCCATAACGACATGTATATCTCATTGATGCAATGGGTCCACCTATATCCCTATTTAAACAATTTGTCTTTTCCCTTCCCCTCCACAAATTATGCCAACATCAAATACAGTGAAATCCGGGGTTATATCGTGGGGGAGGGACATACAAACAACAAAGAAATCATCTTATAAATATGTTAGAAACAATTGCATGAAAGAAAAAAAAACATTTGAGTGCTTATCTTGGGGTTCATTTCCCTAACATCAATTTAACTGACATTTTCTGCTTGACTCAGACATACACAGATTATGGCAAATAAGGCAAACCATGGGACCTATGTTTCTTTGGGCCTGGCTTACTTCACTTAATATAATTTTTCCAAGTCTTTCAATTTCCTATCAAATGGGGCCATGTCATTCTTTCTGATGGAGGCATAGAATTCCATTGTGTATATATACCACATTTTCTTGATCTACTGAGGAGGATCTGGGTTGTTTCCCTATCTTAGCTATGATAAATAATGCTGCAATCAATATAGGTGTGCTGGTAGCTTTAGTGTGGTCTTACTTGTGATCATTTGGGTAAATGCCCAAAAGTGGGATTGCAGTGTAGTAGGGGAGCTCTATGTGGAGTCTTTTGTGGACCAACATACTACTTTCCAAAGTGATTAAGTTTATACTCCAATCAACAATGCAGTAAGATTCCCTTCTGTCCACATCCCCTCCAGCATCTGTTGATATTAGAGTTCTTGGTTCTGGCCATTCTAAATGGGGGTGAGGTGGTATCTCTATGTTGTTTTAAATTGCATTTCTTTTAGGGCTAGAGAGGTTGAGCATTTCTTCATGTGTCTATTGACCATCCTTCTTTCATCTTCAGAGAAGTTTCTCTTTAAGTCTTTAGCCCACATATTTATTGGGCTGTGATTCTTTGTGGATTTGTTGTTGGGAGATTTATTTTTTTTTGAGTTCCAAGTATATTTTAGATATGAGACCATTGCCCATTGTATGGCTAGTGAAGATCTTCTCCCAGTCAGTGGGATTTCTATTGATCTTGCTATCTATGTCCTTTGACATGCAGAAGCTCTGCAATTTCATGCAATCCCATTTGTCCAACCTTTCTTTGATTTGTTGTGTTTCTGGGTCTCTATTAAGAAAATTTCGGCCTGAGACAAGGAGACCTAGGGTTTCTCCTATTCCATCCTGTAATGTTTTCAGAGTGTCTGCTTTGACTCCGAGGTCTTCGTTCAATTTGGAGTTGACTCTGGTGCAGGGTGATATATAAGGATCTAGTTTTCATTTTCTACATGTAGTTAACCAGTTTTGCTAGCACCATTTACTTAAGAGGCTGTCTTTCTTCCATTCTTTTTTTAAGCTCCTTATTGAAGATTAGATGTCTATTGGACTTTAGTTTCATTTCTGGGTTTTCAATTCTATTCCATTGGTCCTGAGGTTTGTTATTGTGCCAGTACCAAGCTGTTTTGATTATTATGGCTTTGTAGTAGAGTTTGAAATTTGGTATTGATATTCCTCCAGCCCTGTATCTTCTGTTAAGGATCGTTTTTGCTATTCGGGATCTTTTATTGTTCTTTATGAATTTTTGGATTGCCTCTTCCATTTCCTTGAAAAAGGAGGTTGGAATATTGATAGGTATCACATTGAATTTGTAGATAGCCTTGGAAGTATTGCCATTTTCCCGATGTTGATCTTTTAAATCCAGTAGCATGGGAATTTTTTCTACTTTCTAAGTTCTGTTTTGATTTCCTTTTTCAGGTTTTTAAAGTTTTCATCATAGAGGTCCTTCACTTCTTTGGTTAATTTAATTCCTAGGTATTTTATTTTTTGTGGTGCTATTATGAATGGAGTTGCTTTTCTAATCTCAGCCACACTTTCCTCATTGTTGGCTTACAGAAAATCCATTGATTTTTGAGGTTTAATTTTGTACCCTGCTACTTTGCCAAAATTTCGAATGAGCTTGAGTAATTTGGAGTCCATGGGATTCTTTAAATACAAGATCATGTCATCTGCAAAGAGCGAGAGTTTTATTTCTTCTTTCCCTATTTGGATCCCCTTTATGTTTGTATCTTGTCTTATTGCTGTAGTTAGACTTTCTAATACTGATTGAAGAGCAGTGGAGAGAGTGCACATCCTTGTCTCATTCCTGAGTTTAGTGGAAATGGCTTTAGTTTTTCACCATTTATTATAATGCTGCGTATAGCTTTGTCATATACAGCCTTTATTGTGTTAGGGATTGTTCCATGGATTCCTAGTTTTTCCAGAGACTTCATCATAAAGGGATGTTTGATCTTGTCAAATACTTTTTCTGCATCTATAGAGATAACCATGTGGTTCTTATCCTTGCTCTTGTTGATGTGATGAATTATTTTAATTGATTTGAGTATATTGAACCAGCTTTGCATCCCTGAAATGAATCCTGTTTGATCATGGTGTATGGTTTTTTTGGATGAATTGTTGAAGTCGATTGACCAAAATTTTGTTGAGAAATTTTGCATCAATGTTCATCAAAGAAATGGGTCTATAGTTCTCTTTCTCTGATAAGCCCCTGCCTAGTTTTAGGATAAGGGTTATTATGGCTTCATCGAATGAGTTCGGTAGTGAACTTTCTCTTTCAAGTTCATTGAAGAGTTGAAGGTGTATTGGTGTGAGCTTTGCTTTGAAGGCCTTGTAGAATTCCACTGTAAAATTATCTGATCCTGGACTTTTCTTAGATAGGAGGTGTCTTATTGCTGTTTCTATTTTAATACTTGATATGGGCCTGTTAAGATAGTTTAACTCATCTTGGTTTAGTTTTGGCATGTCAATATTTGGTAGGAAAAGGTTCATTCTGCCAAGTTCTCAAACTTATTAGCATAAAGTTTTGAGAAGTAATCCCTTATAATGTTCTGAATCTTGGTTGTTTCTGTGTTGATGTTTCCATTCTCATCTCTGAGTTTATTTATTTGGGTGTGTTCGCTCCTTTTTCTGAGAAGATTTGCTAAGAGTCTGTCATTTTTGTTAATTTTTTCGAAGAACCAACTCTTTGTTTTGTTGATTCTTTCTATGTTTTTTTTTGGATTCGAATTCATTTATTTCAGATTTAATTTTAATTATTTCTTTCTGTCTACTAGATTGGGGTTTATCTTGCAGCTATTTTATAAAGAGGCTCAGATATCTCATTCAATTGTTGGTTTCAGATCTCTCCAATTTGTTAATGTAGGAACTCAGAGCTATAAACTTGCCTCTGAGTCCTGCCTTTGCTGTGTCCCAGAAGAGCTGGTAATTTGTATGTTCATTTTTGTTGAATATCATGAACATTTGAATTTTGTTTCAAATCTCTTCCATGACCCACTGATGGTTCAAAAGTGTGCTGTGCAGCATCCATATGTTACAGGACTTTCTTTGGTAGCTTTTGTTGTTGAGTACTAATTTTATTCTCTTGTGGTCTGAGAGAATGCAAGGTATAACTCCAATGTTTCTTAATTTGGACAGATTTACTTTGTGGCCTAAAATGTGGTCTATTTTAGAAAATGTTCCATGTGCTATATTCTGATACTGCTTGGTGAAATATTCGGTAGATGTCTGTTAAATCCAGTTGATCTATGCAGTTGTTTAGATCTGCGGTTTCTCTGTTGAGTTTTTACCATGTTGATCTATCTAGTGGGGATAGTGGTGTGTTAAAGTCCCCAACAATTTATGTCTTTGAATCTATGTGAGATTTAAGAGAAAGTAGTGTTTCTTGGATAAATTTGGTGCTCCATTGTTTGGCAAATAGAGATTTAGAATTGTAATATTCTCCTGAAAGACAGATCCCTTAATTAGTATGTAGTGACCTTCTTTATCTCTTCTCACCAATTTTAATTTGAAGTCTATTTTTTCTAATATTAGGATTGCAATTCCCGCCTGTTTATGGGGGCCGTTTGCTTGAAATTTTTTTTTTACCCTTTCACATTCAAAATGTGTTTCTTTTTATGGGCAAGGTGTGACTCCTGAAGGGAGCAAATAGAAGGATCTTGCTTTTTAATCCAACTAGACAATATATGTCGCTTAATTGGAGAGTTAAGTCCACTAATGTTGATAGAAAGGACTGAGAGGTATTTGGGAGTTCCTGTCATTTTATCCACCTTCTGGGGGCTGTGGCAACTGGGTAATTCTTATGGTTCTTAGAATCTCAGTTAAAGTGTGGTTTCTTGGCCTTCATTGTGGTCTTGCACATTTCTTTTGTAGGGCTGGCTTGGTGGAGATACATTGTTTCAATTTTTCTTTGCTATGGAAAGCTTTTATTTGACCTTCAGTTATGAAGGAGAGTTTAGCTGGGTACAATATTCTTGGTTGATAGTTGTTTGTCTTTAGGGCATGGCATAAAGCACTTCAGGCTCTTCTTGCTTTAATTGTCTCTGCTGAGAAATCTGAGGTGATTCTAATTGGTTTCCCTTTGTAGGTGATTGATCTTTTCTCCTTGACAGTTTTAAGAATCTTTTCCTTGGTCTGAATTGATCTTGTGTGGATTATTATGTGACGGTGAAATGTCCCGTTTTGGTCTTGTTTATTTGGGGTTCTGAAAACTTCTTGTATCTGCATAGGCTTATCTTTTTGCATGTTTGGGAAGTTTTCTGCTAGAATCCTGTTAAACAAATTTCCTAGACCATTAACTTGTGTGTCTAAGTGCTCCTCTACACCCAGTATCCTCAGATTAGGTTTTCTGATGGTGTCTTCCAAATGTTGAATACATTTATCATGTTTCTTGGATTTGTCTTGGATGGTTGTATGTTCTTTCTCTATAATATCTAAGCTGTCTTCAATCCTCGAGATTCAATCTTCTCCATGGCCTAACTTACTGTCAAGACTTTCTACTTTGTTTTTTCCTTTTTTTTCCTTCTTATTGGCCAGTTTTGATGGCTTCAAATTCTTTGTTAGAAGTTTGTTTTAGATCTTGTATGAACTTCTTTTCTTCCTTAATTTGGTGTTCAGTGTTTATTCTCAAATCACTTAGATGATTGGTTATGGTTTCCTTGGACTCCCATCCTTCTGTCGGGCTCCTTTCAGCATTCCCTTTGTAGTCTTCCTGACTTCTTTCATCTCTCTGTTTATGGACTCCATGATTGTCTGTATTGATCTTTGTCTATTCTCATCCCTCTTTCTCAATTCCTATCTTACTCTTTGATTAGCTTCCTCACGTTCACACATTTCCTGTAGTTCTCGTTGAGTGTTCTCAGCCTGCTCATGCTATTCTTGACTTTGTCTTTGTTCTTAGCCTGCTCACACAAATCCTGACTATCTCTTTGACTGATCTCAGCATGCTTGCGAAATTCCTTTATTTCTCTTTGAGTATTCTCAATCTGCTTATGCAATTCCTGTATCAGTCTTAGAGTAGCTTCCTCACGCTCATGAGATTCTTGTATTCATCTTTGGTTTGACTCCTCTCTCTCCCTATCATGCTCAAACTGAGTCCTTTGCAGGTTTTGACTCTTTTCATTTACCATGTTTACCTGTAATGTTTGTAGAGCTTTTGGGGGACTCTCCTCTGGATTATTCATGATCTGTTCTGTCCCCTGATTATCATGAGTGATTGTTGAGATACCCGAACTTTCATTTTTTCTTGTGCTTTTTTCTGGCTTCATCTACTCATTTGGGATGAAAGTAACATCAGTTTTGTGCTAGAACACTATTTTAAGGCAAGCATCAACCAAAGTCTTGTAGTTGCACAGTCAAAAGTCTGCTGATATGGTGTAGTTCAACAGATACAATCTATTCAAGAATAACATCTATGTCTTAATGGCCTAAGAACAGCAAAGAAGAATTTGGCAAACTGGAAATTATTAGGTTTAGGGAGAAATGTGGGGAAAATAGGATTAGAGGGATGTGGAAATGTAAAGGGAAAGTAAAATTAACCAAGTCCTAATCTCAAAGAGGTAAATGGATTGGCAGAATGATAGCAGAAAGAGGAAGAAAAAAGAAGAAAAAGAAAAAAGAGATAAGACAAAATGGAAAAAACAAAAATTTAAAATTAAAAAGTGAAACACTTAAATAATGCAAGTTTAAAGAAATAATATTGATGGAAGAACGGCCATGGGGTGAGAGGAGGGGAGGGATGGAAAGGAGGAAAGAAAAACTAAAAAATAAAAATGTATAAAATATTATATGGGTATAAAGATGTAATTCTTCTATTAAAGAATTTAAGTCTAAAGGTTTTGAATTGAGTAATAAATTTCTGGATTAAGTGTGTACACAATGGGGGATAAGGTCTAATTATTGACGATGGGTATATATCTAAGGATGAATAGAACAGGAATTAAGTCTCGCAAAAAAGAAAAAAAAGAAGAAAAACTAAAGAGAATGAGAAAGAAAGAAAGAAAGATCAAAAGATCAGTTGAGATAAAAGAAGAGCATGCACACATATACAGCTAAAATAAAATTATATGAAGGAAAAAACAGAATAATAGAAAATAATTTTTAATTAAAAAATAAAAAAGGTACAAAAAAAGAGTTCTTTGATTTTTTTTTGGGGGGGGATGGAAAGATCCTGTATCTCCCTTGTGTCTGTAACCAGTCTCTTGATGGAGTCTCTGGTCTGCTTGTGGTGTTTGGCTTTCCTGGGACTTGATTGGTTACTAAAGTCAGTTTGTTTGGGCAGGCAGAAAAATGCTCTGCTTTACCCAGGATTTTGTGATCCTCCTCCCAGGCTAGTTCACTGGGAGGGAGATCTGCTTTGAGTATCACAAAAGAGGGAGATGGCTGTTTCCTCGAGTTTGGAGATGCTGTGATAAGGTTAGGTTCTGGGTAGAGTTGAGGCTATTCTGCAAACTGTAGCTTTTCCCTGAGGGACTAGCTCCAGAGACCCTCACAGAGCCCAGCTTGGATCCATTCTCAGGGTTTATGTTTACTGAATTTTATTTTAATTGATTGTCTAGGCTGCTGTAGGGAGGGGCAGCCTCTGGCTCTGTTTACCCAGTGAAGAAAGCCACTCCTCCCGGGCAGAGCTTTCTCTGCCTGGGCTGGGTGACATTTCCCTGGGTGGAGCTGAGCCTGGCTGGTCAGGTTAGGATCCTGTTACCTGCTAAATGACTCTTTTGTTTTCTTCCAAGGCCTGAGTTGGAGCTAGCTGCCCAGCCAGACTTTTGTCAGTATCAAAAATGGAGACCCCTGGTAGTGGGGGAAAGGGAGTGGTGGCCTTCCATCCTCTGCTCTCTGAGAAGGTGTGATGATGTCAGGGTTCTACTCATGCTGAAGTCTTGGTTCCAGGGTCATCTCTGGTCTATAATCTGCAGGATGAAGACATCTGCTCCTTGTCAGTTCCTGCTGATGTTGAGTAGAATCTGCTTGCCCACTGCACTTTTGTCCCGGAATCTCTGTGTTGTAGATATGGCGTCTATGGTTACCACCACCACTGCCACCACCACAGCTGCAGCCGTGGCTGCTGGCAAATGCTCAGATCTGTCTTCTTGCCTGGATTTTCCTTCTCTGCCTAAACTGTCTGTACTGCGATGGCACACTTGGTGAAATTCTCTAGCCTAGAACTGTTCACTGGAACACTAAAACTGCTTTCTATGTTAGAGCTTGTTTAACCTCCAGCTTCTCCACCAGCTTCCCCGGGCAATACAGAAATATAATGTTAATCATTTGGAAAAACGTAGTGAAAGATTTGAGCAAATAATTGGATAATTTATTGTTTCAATCTATATGAATAATTTTCTTTAATAAATCAGGAAACGGAAGATGACTTTGCAGTGTGAAGATATGTTGAGCAGGTTACTGATGGCACACAAAAGCAATCCTAGCTAATAAGAAAACTTGTATCTCCAATTAACCTGTAAGGAGCACAAGGTGAATGTGTGACTCCATTGGTATAGAACCAGTCTTGAGGAAAATGGTCAAGGAAGTGCAAGATTGTATGTGTGTGGGCCCCTGTACTGGCATTCATGTGTAAACACACACACACACACACACACACACACACACACATACACACATAAAGAAAATAGTATTTAGAATGAAATAAATCAAGCTCAGATTGATAAAGTATAGCCATATCCTCACAAATGTGAGAGTTACATCAAAATATGAATATGTAATATGAAGGAAATATGGAATAGTCACAAAGCCACTGCACACACACATATATGTATAATGTATATATGTAAATATATATATGTATATAATCAATCAGACTAACAGAGGATATATATAGAGGTGGAATTCGATGGTGTAATTTTTCTGATCTACTGACAGCATAAAAAATGAACACCAAAAAAAATGAAGCATATCTTACCTGAGTGGGATAGGGTTTTAGGGAAAAATACAGAAGACTAGGAAAAGGATGGGTGAAGGAATACAACATAATATTCAATGGGCATGTGTCAAAATGGAATTAGGAAAGTTGGGTAATATACAGGGTTACAAATGGGAAGTATCGATGGGAAATAGTGACAAAAACAAAAAACATTTTACAAATACACAGCTATTCAAAAACTAAAACTAAAACAAAACCTACCTTCCATCTACTTCAACTAGTTCTTAAGAGACTTCAAGACTGAGATTGTGATGCATGGCAATCTTCTCATTCATAGAACATCCAATTTTCGTTCCCTTTAGTTTACCTTTGGGCCTTTTGATCCTGCCCTGAGTGAACATAACAAGTTTCCTGCTCTCTATCAGTTGGCCCCAAAGGACTCATCAATAGCCACTGCTATGGTCTCCTTACTGCTTCACTTCAGCTGGAGCTGGGTGGGACTATTGACCACACAAGATGATAATGGGGCAAAGATTCTTGCTGAATTGAAAGTAGAGATGGCCAAGAACAGAGTTTGTGTAGCCTATGAGCTAGTGATCGCCACCCAAGATGCATATAACCTCATAACAGTTAATCGTTATATTAATCTATCTTCAGCAAGTGTCCTCATCATATATGGTGATAATAATTCACTGATGGTTTTTATGGTATTTGTTGAGCAAATTATTATACATGGGAAAGTTTGTATCATGAACTCTCAGTGGGATTTCATCCTGAAAAGGAGATATTTCATGTTAGGATCATTGCATGTACCTTTTATTTTTACACACCATCATGTAGATGTTTCTGGATTCACAGATTTTGTCAAGGCAGCTAAGCCTTCCAAATACCCAGAAGACATTTTTCTTGCAAGGCTGTGGTTTCTCTCTTTTAATTGCTCTGATTCTGTATCTGACTGTGTAACATGGGACAACTTTGCTCATGATGCCTCTTTGGATTGGTTACCTGGGCATATTTTAGACATGACTATGTCTGTAGATAGTTACAATATATACAATGCTGTGTATGCTGTGGCCCTGGCTCTCCATAAGATGCTTCTTCATCAAACAGAAGTTCAAACAACGAGAAATAGAAAAGAAGAACTGCCTACCTCTACTCAGGTAAGTTCTTCTATGTTAGAGTACACAAACCATGAGTAAAGGTACTTACTAGAAGTGTTTTTTACTGTATGAAATTAAATATTTCTGTATGTGTATATGTGGGTTTTTGTTTATATATATGGCATGTGTATATATGGGTGTATATGTACACATATATATATACACATACCATATATATATATATTTATATCCCTATGTCATATATAACTTGCTTGCTGATGTTAATGGGTATATATTTCAGTATTTGAAGTAATTGTTTCAACTCTTAAGCTTTTTCCTTTCTATTATGAGATTCTATTGGAAGTACAAATTTGAACAACTGTATAGTGACATTTAAAACATTAAATATTTCAGTTGCTTTTCCAAACCCTATGAATTCTTTTTGTTTCAATTTCGTTGAGGTATTCTAGACATATGGGGATATGCTCTAAAGAAAACAACAGGCCAGTAACAAGGATAAATTAATTTTGGCCAGTGCAGGTGCTTGAACACAGTTCCTGGGTAGATCCCTGATCTGCTAGCACACAAACACTTCAGGACAGCAAACTCTTTCTGAGAAGTTTATTAGGTACAACTTTCTCACTGAACTTTCTGCCCCAGCCTGCTTGGAAGCATGATCCTCTGATCTGAACCTCCTGTTCAGCTGGTATTACATCCTTGAGCCACCAGCACCCTGTTTATGAACTCATTAGTTATGAATAATATCAACATGTTCATAGCTCATGTTATAAAATCTGTAAATTCAGCTTTTTCGTATGAGTTTCTTCAGTCATAACAAAGGATGACTTGCTAAAACCAATTCCCCATGTTTTTCATGAGTGACAGAGTTTCATTCAACTTTGGGTATTAAATATTTAGCAAGCACAAACTATAGAAATTCACAAAGGAGTGGTTGTGGATTTTTCTGAAAATCCTCCTCTATTTCTGAATTTTCAGGATAGATTATTTTTTCACAAAGACGATTTTGATTCCTCCATAGATTTTCTTCTGCAATACTTCACTAGTTGTCTCTACTATTCTTGAATTCAGAATCAAAGATTAAAGGCAATTAGGAGCTTTTACTATTTTGCTTTCTGTCTTAACTCTGGAACACACTTAACCATAAGATATGTCTCTTTTTAGCTGTACACTTTTCTGAAGAATAACCAGTTTTACAATCCTATTGGAAATCAAGAAATTTGGGACAAGCAAAGGAAATTGGAGCCAGAGTATGACATTCTGAATATTTGGAATTTTCCAGAGGGTCTTGAACTTGAGGTGAAAGTAGGAAAGTTTTCTCCATATGCTCCACATGGCAATCAACTCTCTTTATCTGAAGATATGTTAGAGTGGTCCATTGAAACTACAGAGGTGAATTGGATCTGATCCTAATAATTTTGCACACAAAAATCAGCAAAAGTCACCTTTTAAGTTTATACCTGGCTGAGTTACATCTAGGTTCTCCTATAATCCTAGAGTCTAATATATTGAGTGGAATATCATAGGTTAAAGTCAGCTCACAGAGAAAACTTTGTGAGATTCCTATTGCCAATAAATCTCCAAAAATTTGGAGGTAGAGCTGGCATTAAGGTAGTAGAGTGCTATCCTTGAGACAAAATAGCTGAAGTCCAGTGCTCAAGCCTTGATTTCAAGCCCCAGGATCAGAACCAAAAGACCTAAAAGTGTTTCTACATGTTGATTTGGAATATTTTCATAAGATGTAAAATATATTTTTCTCTGTGGAAATCTAACACTGTGATAAAGTAACTGAGGAGTTAATTTATGGGATTACAAAGGTTCTTTTGCTCCCTTCTGTGGAGATTCTTCCAATGGTTAATTGACTTGCTACTTAACCCTCTTTGATTAGAGGAAACACTAAAGACACCTGTGAGAAGAGTTTCACCTCATGTACACTAGAACACAAAGAAAAAAGTATTATGACCTTGGGGTCACATAACCCTATAAAGTGGAGGTCTCCTTCTTGCTCTTTCTAATGTCACAGATGAGTAGGAGAAAGCATATTGTGCCAGGAATTCAAGGAAATCCCATAGGGCTGTACACTACAAATTACTTTCTCATCACTACTTTCCACCTTTTAAAAATCCCATAACTTACAGTAATTCAACAGGCTTGAAATCAAGATTGAAACACATAGCCTTTGTGAATCATAGAGTATGGCATCTATAACAGAATTCAATAAATCAACTGCACTTATCTGTTTAAACATTATACTTAAACATCCCATTGTAAAACTATGGATTGTTGTAGTGATTGGTATGTGTCGGAACAGTTATTAACACACACCCTCCCTTTCCTCAGATCCCTCACTCTGTCTGCAGTGAGAGTTGTGGTCCTGGATTCCGGAAATCTCCTCAGGAGGGAAAGGCTGCCTGTTGCTTTGATTGTTTACCTTGCTCAGAAAATGAGATTGCTAATGGGACAGGTCAGTCATGCTTATAAAGAAATCCTTTATATCTGCCTAGTTAACCTCAAATGAAACAAGTGAATTAAAAAACTTTGTATTAGGATCACAGAGCGCATTCTCCTTCTCTCTGTTTATAAATGAATTCTAAGAAGTGGTAGCATTGCTAATGGCAATTCTATAGAACATGGATTTGCATTACATATTGAGAAAGATATTCCAGTATATTGCAGGGAAAGTTACTCCAGGACCTTCTTATCACTAATCATTAGGGCAAGTCTAAACTCTACCATAAAATTAAACATACGTGGTATAAGGAGAGTATTCATCTTAAAACTTACATTTTACTCCCACAGAAAACTTGGATCTAGCTTATCTTTATTTCTCAGTGCTGAGAACTCTTCTTGGCACAGGGCAAGGCCTCAGTAAGCAAGAATCAGAAATAGGAATAACTATAGAGGATCAATGAATGATGAGTTTGTTCCTACAACTAGAATCAGTTTAAGAAATAGGAATGACCATATAGTGTCAAAGAGTGATGATTTTGTATCTACAACTTCACAGGTGAATAGTCAAGACAAGCATAATGAGAGGAAATCAAGGATAATATATCAATGGTAAAAATTAATGTCTTACAAAAACATATAGGGCAATGTATATTTAAACTTTTAATATGATTGCACGACACTTAATTAGCATCACAAAAAGCATAAACAATTTTAATAAGATATTACAATAACCCAACTATTACTTTATCAATATGTGTGATAGTCATTGATAAAAAATATTGAATAAAAATGCCTGAATAAAGAAGAAGAAAAAAATGGGAAGCGGTTATGTCTTGTGAAAAAATAGAAAAACACTTTTATGATAGTGAATGCTGACATCTGAGAATTTCACCTAAAAGAAAAATTCCCTAAATTCTTTGAAACAAACTTGCTTAATAAAAAAGTAATGGTGATGTACATTTCTCACCAGATATGGAGCAATGTGTGAAATGTCTACATCATCAGTATGCCAACACACACACAGGACCCAGTGCCTCTTGAGAGTTGCAAGTTTCCTGGCTTTTGAAGATCCGTTGGGCATGGTTCTGGCCTGCATGGCTCTTTGCTTCTCTTTGCTAACTGCTGCTGTTCTTTGGATGTTTGTGAAACACCAAGACACTGCCATTGTTAAGGCCAATAACCGGGCTCTCAGTTATATCTTGCTCATCTCCCTCATTTTCTGTTTCCTCTGTTCTTTGCTCTTTCTTGGTCAACCCAAAACAGCCACCTGCATCCTGCAGCAGATCACATTTGGAGTTGTATTCACTGTGGCTGTTTCCACAGTGTTGGCCAAAACAGTGACTGTGGTTCTGGCCTTCAAGGCCACTTCCCCAGGAAGAAGGATGAGGTGGCTGCTGGTATCAGGAGCTCCTAACTTCATCATCCCCAGCTGCACGCTCATCCAGGTGACCTTCTGTGGCCTCTGGCTGGGAACCTCTCCTCCCTTTGTGGACACAGATGCACACTCTGAACATGGCCACATCATCATCTTGTGCAACAAGGGCTCCCTCACTGCCTTCTACTGTGTCCTGGGATATCTGGGCTTCCTGGCCCTGGCCAGCTTCACTGTGGCTTTTCTGGCCAGGAACCTGCCTGACACCTTCAATGAGGCCAAGTTCCTGACCTTCAGCATGCTGGTGTTCTGCAGTGTGTGGCTCACCTTTCTACCTGTCTACCACAGTACCAAGGGGAATGTCATGGTGGCTGTGGAGGTTTTCTCCATCTTGGCCTCTGGTGCAGGTCTCCTAGGTTGCATTTTTGCCCCAAAGTGTTATACCCTCTTGTTAATGCCAAATAGAAATTCTCTGCATGGCCTCAGGGATAAAAAACATAGCAGGAGAAATAAGCATACTTAGTATTAAGTACCTAGGTTTGATTAGTACACAGGAGGTGTGATCTAAATCTCTAGTTATAGTAATTATCTCTTCTTGTCATAGTTTATATTATTGAATTTTTACTTCAAAGAGTAAGGCTGTACTGTATATTTCCTATCAATGGTAGTCACAAGTGATGATAATCACAATTTACACTGGAATTTTGCTTCTATATCTTGGTTCTTTCTATTTAATCTGCACTTAATTATATTATCCCCTCTTCCTAAAGTCTTTTCTCTATTGTAGTTTATATGCTTATTTTAATTGTAAATGTACTCTAAAAGTGTTTATAATTTCATGAGTAAGGTAATGAGTACATTTCCTATTGAGCATCTTTAATACCTCCTCTGTTTTCCCCTACCCTTCCTTCAGCTCCATGTCTCTACCTCTTCCCTGCCCTCCCCCTCCAAGTTTTCAACATAGTGTCTTGTACATCTCATTGTTACAATGGGTCAGCTTCCGCATTTTTTTGTTTCCTTTCCCTTCCCCAAGTTAGAAAAATGTGTATGCAAGATGCAGTGCACTCCAATCAATTATATTGAAAACAGGTTATACCTTGGGGAAAGAACATACAAAAGAAACCAAAACATCATGAAATACACTATAAATGACAGTAATAAAGATTTAAAAAACCTCTTATGTCCCTATCTTGGGGATTATTTCACTTAGCATCTTCTTATATGGTCAAATGTACATAGCTTTTCTGCTAGTCTGGTAAGATTAACTTTGTCTTTCTCAATAATTCCTGTACATCATTATGTTTATTAACATCTTGTCTTCCCACCACCATGTTTCAGAGTCCTCAAATACAGTTCATTAATATTTTCCTCTTCACAAATTTACATGTTTAATATCTTTAGATTTTGTTTTGTTCAATATTTGTATATTTCTACTCCCATGTTCATCTTTTGAAATTATCCTGGGTCTATTTTGTGGGACCTTTCTCTCTGGCCTGATCTCTCTTTCTCCTTGTCTCTTTCCATCTCCATCTTTGTCTTTCTTTTCTCTCTCACACTGCTTCCCTCATATAACTTGGGAATGACTTGTATATGTTACAAAAATGCACTTTGATTGAAGTTTACAATGAAGAATTTTTTTTTCAATTTTCTCCTAAGTTTAAAGTCTTATGCACAATAGTAAGCTCTTTCTTGCCTGAATATACTCTTCATTTTATGGATAATAATATCTCTTCATTAATTTGATGCAAAGAATTTTGAATATTATATATATAGTTATTTCTTGTAATATCATCACTTCTTACAATTTATTAAAACAAGAAATTTTTTCCACATTTTGTAATATTGATAAGGCAAGCTTTACTTATTGTTTTAAATAGATTGATTTAGTGAGCTCTATATTATGTTTACATAATTATATTTTAAAGAGATATAGACACAATTGCACTCATTTCTTGTCTGTTCAAGAGTTCTTTTCTTGTTCCTTCTGATAATTATTCAATTAACCACTTGATCTGCAGTTGCATTTGTAACTGTTAGTCCTCTTACTGGAAATAAGAATCTCGTACACTTTGCTCCTGGCTGACTTCAAATCTCTTCTCATATTTGCATTTGTAATAAATATGTGGCTATGAAATATACTATAGCTTTCTATAAATTAAATTAATAGTTGAAAATATAAAAATATTTTCACAAAAGAATATTGTCTGCTTGTTCTCTTATTGAGAGGATGATGTTTAAAAAATGAAAATGTAATTGCCCTCAGTATGGCAGTCAAGATATAATCAAAATACTCATCAGTTTCTACTGAGTTTTCGACTACATTGTTTCATTTTTTAGGAATTTCATTAATAGAATTGATTTTATATTATTGAGTTAAATGCAGAATCCTCATTGTCATGTGAAAATATTGGGAGAGTATATGAGTACAGTGATTTTGCCTAGTATTTTGTAGTATTTGCTATTTTTTTTCTGAGTTAGGATTTCAGTGTTCTTACACAACAAGTTTTCCCTTAAATGAAGAAATGAAAAGAATGTATACATAGGATTGATTGATTTGTTGAAGTGAGATTGGATGGATGGGAGCCAAGGAGAAAGTAAATGGAATATAAAGGAAAAGTTCATGGAAAAAAGAAGTAGAAGAACAGAGATAAGAAAGGAACAAGGAAAATGTAGCCATTTGAAAGATTTTTGGTTTTTTTTTACAATAATAATTTATTCATAAGAAGTAGACTGGATTTGGCCTTTGAGTCATGGTTTACCTATCTTCTCTCTCTCTCTCTCTCTCTCTCTCTCTCTCTCTCTCTCTCTCTGTGTGTGTTGTGTGTGTGTGTGTGTGTGTGTGTGTGTGTGTGTGTGTGATAATAGAAATCAATTGCCATATGTTTTTTGCTGATGTTTATTTTTGCTTTAAAGTGGTTTACATATATTCTATCAAACATTGGGGATATCATATTCATGAATGAAAATAAAATAATGGAAGCCATTAGAATCAGTTAAATTTTTAGAGGAAATAAAATATAATGGGTCCAAAGGCATTTAGAAAAACGACTTTATGTGCTCATAAAACTATCATAATGAAACCCATTTTAAATATATACACTAGTAAAAATTTAAAATAAATACAAAAATAAAATTTAAATTCAATCTACTTAGAGTTGGGAAAATAACATCTCTTTTGTGTATTTGGACCAAACTTCATTTTGTAATCAATTGAAATAAAGTAACATGAGTCCAAAATTGATTTCATATATCCCTTAAAATGGTGGGTTCAAAAAAACTAATACCGAGGCTTCAAAATCAAATTAAAGATCTCAAAAGACGTCTGCAATGAACAAGAGAGCTATCATATAAGAAACTATATAAGAAGGTGGAAAAACATCCTTCACTCACAGTTTGGCAGAATTTAATTTGCAAAAGTGGTTATTTCACTGAGAGCTACTATACATTCAATTTTATTCCACTGAAAATATCAGTGTATTTTTTAGGAGTATAAAAATTAACACCAATCCAAAACCAGTGGGAAACTCATATAACCCTAGTTGAGACTATGAAAATTGTTCTCTGAATACAGCATGAGAAAAAATGGTTCTGGGATGTCATGCTTGGGTGAGGTGTTAGATATCTGTGATGTCAGCTCTGTAAGAGGTAGAGATTGAGGAAATGAGAGTTTCTGGGCAGTTCTATGTGGATATTAGTCACAACAGTGGTGCATGCTTATAATAACAGCTGTGATGGAAATGTATCCATTTTTTTTGCATTGCCATGAAGTGAAAACTAATCTCAAAAATACACAGAGCAAGCTGGGTGTTGGTGACTTATGTCTGTAATACTTGGTAATCACCAATCTGAGATCTGAGCAATTCAGTTCAAAGCCAGCCTAGACAGGAAAGACATTGAACAACTTATCTACAATTAACAACCTAAAAAGCTGGAAATAGCACTTTGGCTCAAAGTGGTAGATTACTAACATTGACCAAAATGCTCAAGAACAGTGTGGAGGACAAAGACAAAACAAAGCAAAACCAAAATCAAAACCTCCAAATTCACAGAGTGGAAGAGACACAGTAGGCTTGGGATGGAGTAACATTACCTTTTGGTCTTCATTGTGGGAATCCTCTACTAAAATAGCCTGTCTCACACATGACTTAAAGCAGAAGGGCTAAGAAAATGAGGGTGGGAAGCAAAGTAGCTTGGATTCAATCAATAGCATTCTCTGATTTCCCAGATATGAACAAGCTTCAGCACAAACTCATGAAAAGACTTTACCTTAGGAGAGAAACAATGAACACATCTACATATAATTTGTTAGTAAAATTAAGGTGAGAAGCCTCAGGTGGGCAGGACATTGGAGCCAGCTAAATCTCTAAGCTTTCCTTTTAGCTTTGGGTAGCAGCTTCCAAGGAGGGAAATAATGGACAAGAGAAGATTAAATTGTGAATTGATGTTTGATTTGGGAGAAGGTAAAATCACAGTCTTGGTAAGAATTTTGTGATGCTCCCACAATGAGGGCTCAGACCCCTAATACTTTCATTGAAGATTGTACTGAGCATCCTTTGGAAAATGTGTGCTTAAAAGAGTCAATTCTTCAGTGATATCCCTCAAAAGCCACCTACTAGGTTAAAATAGTCACTCGAAAGAAATAAAATGAACTGTGACAAATAATCACAAATTTAAGTTCAGCAAATTAATCAATACTCCAACAATCACCAGACTAAGAAAGAAGTCAAAGAAACCATCAAATTCCTAATAGTACCTAAGAAATGTATCTTAAATACCTAGGAATAAGTATAACCAAGGAAGTAAAAGAGATCTACAAAGAAAACCATAATTTTATGAAAATCAGAAGACATAGAAGGAAAAAATCTCTATTGGGCATAGATTGGGAAAAGGAATATTGTGAATATATCTGCATCATTCAAAATTATATATATATATATATATATATTTGTGTATTATACATATATATTTAAAGAAATCTTTATTAACATCCCAAAGTCACTTATCATAGAAATAGAAAATTCAATCCTAATACTGATATAGAAAAACAGACCTCACTAAGCCAAAGAAATCTTGAGCATAAAGAGTAATGTAGGAGTTCATACTTCAAATTATGCTATAAAGCCCTAGTACAAAGTGAACATTGTACTTGCCAAAACAAAGAAGAACAAGAAGACCAACAGAACAGATCAGAAGACCTCAAAATGAGTTTGACACGGGTGGCTACTGTGCACGCGCACACACACACACACACACACACACACACACACAAGCACACACACACACATATTCAAGAGTTGTTTCATTGCAGAAAAGTCCAAAAACGATATCTGTACATGTAGAAGATTGAAAATAGCTCATTGTTTCCTTCAGCGTCAATTTTTATGTAACGTCAAAGTGGAGCAAATAGGTTATTACACTTATTTGACTTTTGTTATATCAAATAACTTCAAGAGCCAGCTGGAAGATGACAGAGGTGTAGTTGGGACCTAATTGAGCTCTCTCCAAGAAACCAGTTTTCACACT